GCGCGGGTGGCGGAAGCCCCCGTGGGGGAGCCGGTGGGCCCGGGAGCTGGAGGACGCCCGGAGGCTCGGGGCTGGGCGGGCCTCGGGGGGCCGGTCCTGGAGGGCCGCGCAGGCAGCGGTGGGAGTCACGGCTTCCAGCCCAAGCGGCCGGGGTCCACCCCCCTGCGATCCCGCCGCTCCCGCTGCCTGGGGGAGTTGTCAGGTGTTGGGGGTCTCGAGGTCGTCCACTCAGATTCGCAGTAGTCGGGGCCGGGGCTCTTCACCCGCTGTGACAGCGAAGCCACCAGGGCTTGCCCGCCGGTCGAGTGCGGGAGTCCAGGCTGCGCCGAGTTATTCGCGAGGGACGCCCGAACCACCGGCTGCACCGTGCCCACCGAGCGCCCCTGATCTGCTCCCAGCACCTGCTGCAGCGGCCTCCTGGCAGGCCGGCAAGGGGGACATCGGGCTTCCAGCTCCTTGCAGCGAAACAGATCCGGCCCAACCGCCATCACTGCGTGTTACGGTCTAAGGCCCCAGCCCAGACGTGCTCCGCGCGTCTGCGTTTTCGCAAGGCCTCAGGAAGTTGGGGTGAACGCTGGAGTGTGGACAGTCTCTGCTTCATTCCTCCGAGCTTGACCGATGTCTCTGAGATGAGTGGGAAATGTGCTCTCCACTCCTGCATAGTTGGAAGCTTCTGGGGTGGGGCCCAGCAGTGATTGCTCTGGCGAGGCCTCTGGGTAGTTCTGGATGGTGAAGTGGGAGAACTAAGACCCTAACCATCAGGCTAGGACTGAGGGGGCTTGCCATAAAGCGTCAGAGAAGGCCCCTCTCTCCGCTCACGACCTGGGAGCAGCTGCCTACGTGGGGACTCAATTCAGCTTCTCCTCAAGGGTAAAGGGAAGCAGATTGTGGCGAGGGAGTTGGATGGATGACGTCGCGGTGGCAAGGTCTCACCCGGGGGCCTCTCCTGGCCTGCAGCGGTCAAGATAGACTGGGCTATGCTGCAGTGACTGCCTGAATGCACTGGGTTGGGGATCACGTGACTTCTGCCAGGGAGCTTATGCAGATAGGCTGCGTGTCTGTCTGGAGTTCTTATTTGTTTTCAAACTCTCCCGCCTTGGGTGTCTGGAGCATTTACTGACCACTGGAGAGAGTCCTGAGTTCTATGTCTTTTTTTTTTTTTTTTTTTTTTGTGAGTCAGAGTCTCACTGTGTCGCCCAGGCCGGAGCACAGTGACACACTCACGGCCACTGCAGCCTCCTGCCAGGCTCAAGTGATCCTTCTGCCTCAGCCTTCCACATTGCTGGAACCACAGGTGTGCGCCACCATGCCCGGCTAATTTTTTGATGTAGAGACAAGATCTGGCCAAGTTGCCCAGGCGGTCTCAAACTCGTGGACTTAGGCAATCCTCTCACCTCGGCCTCCCAAAGTGCTAGAATTACAGGCATGAGCCACTGCATCCAACTCATTCTCCCTCTTTAATGGCACAGGGGTCAACAGCATTTGACATGTGGCTTCCCCATCTCCCAGGTGACGCTCTGGGCAGAGCCTGCGAATGGCAGTGCTGGATGGGCACTGTCTGTCCCAAGCAGGGGACTGGCGAGTGCATTTTGTTTAAAAGAAAGAAAGGAAGAAAGAAATTAGGACTCTCTCCAGTGGTCAGTAAGTGCTCCAGACACCCAAAGGTGGGAGAACTTGAAAACAAGAACTCTAGACAGACATGCCGCCCATCTTGGGTAAAGGGTGTTTAGGTCTTGCGCGCCCCACCATCTCTGCTGTCAGCTACTCAACTTCGCTCTGCTGTGGCACAAAAGCTGTCATGGAGACCATGCATGGATGGATGTGGCTGTGTCCTCATAAAGCTTCATTTATAAAAACTGGTGGTCATCTGGGCTCTGTGGCTCAGCCTGTAATCCCGCGCCTTTGGGAGGCTGAGGTGAGTGGATTGCCTGAGCCCGCGGGTTCGAGACCCGCCTGGGCAGGCGAGACCTCATCTCTAAAATAAATCAAAAAATTAACCGGGCATGGTAGCGCGCGCCTTTAATTCCAGCTATTCGGAAGGCTGAGGCGGAAGGATCGCCGGAGCCCAGCAGGTTGAGGCTGCGGTGGCCGGGAGCGGCCACTGCACTCCAATCTGGGTGACAGAGTAAGACTCCAACTCAGAAAAAAAAAACTGGTGGTCACAGGTCAGGCCTGCAGTCTCAGACTCCCAGCATCTCTGAGCATCAGTGGGTTTTGACCTTACTACAATCGGTCTGTAATGTCTCTTTGCCTTTTTGCGTGTGGTCACAAGCTAGGATAACATTCTTATGCACCTGCATCATCTTATGTCTGCCTTCTCCTCGTTGTAATATTATGCTTAGAAGTAGAACTTCATGTTTCATAGAGACACAATATGTTCAGAATAGTTTTTTCAGGTATCACAGAACGGTTGCTCCTTATCAAACGCGGTTAAAAGCTCCACACTGTGTTTACCATAAAAGCAAAACCGCTTTGACCACAGGCACGAAGTCCTCCTTGTAGTAACCTACGTGAGTTGGGCCTTGTCTCCACTTCGTGGCTCTGTGGCTCTGTCTCTGTCTCGGTGGTTCCTGGCCAGGAGCCATGTTGCCCTGGAGCACTTGGCAGTGTCTGGAAGCTCCTGGTTGTCACAGCCTGAGGGGGGATGCTGATGGTATCTGGGGGACTGGCCTGTACGCTTCCAGTCAGCCTGTGTGACACAGAACAACGCATTCAGCCAAAGTGTCAGTAATGTCAAGTTGGGAAAACCCTGTTCTGTTTCAGGAGAACAAAAGTGTAGTCGCTTGTTCGAGGACTTTAAAAATACTGAGATGACATTGGAAAAAAAAATCCTTTAGAAATAAGATGTGCCAGCTTGGGTGACTTGGTGAAACCTCGTCTCTATAGTAGATC